ACGTGCAAAGAACGCTTTCAAGTTCCTTACGTCGTGCGACGGAGAAGACGACGGCGCCGAAAGCGCGTCAAAAAGTCTCAGCAACAGCTGGTCGAAGAGGACCGGTCAAGGGATTCCAGCGTGGCAAGCGCTCCCAGGCAAGGGCGTTCCGTCACGCCGGCTGGCCGCCGGCGCTACCGCTCCAGGGGCCGCGCTCGCACCAAAGGGCGCTCTTGCTCCCGGGCACGAATCCAGAAAGTACCTACCTGGGCGGATCGAGCCAAGCCGAAGCCAGCGGCGCCGCCACCAGAGGTAACGCGGGTACCATTGCCAGAGCATAGGGAAGACCCCAGGGTAGCTAAGTTGATCCAAGAGAATGCTTGCCTTAAGGCAGAGATTCAACAGCTGAGGGCTGACCTTGAGTCGTTCCGCAAACATTACTCCTCGCAGGGTGAGAGACAACAGATTCCCCCACCAGAGGACGTGCAGGCGCGCTCGGGAAAACGTAGGGCCTCACCCCCCCAAGGGGAGTGGGATGATATGGAGACAGAATCCAACAGCAAGGCTCTCGAAAGCATGCAGCAATCGATTAAACAACTGGCTGATAGCATGACTACCCTACTGAAAAGGGTGTCGTCTCTTGAAGGTACACAGGCAGCGCTAGCTACGGGTAGCTCGCCTCCGATAGGCCCGAACAGGGCACAGTCGCCTGCAGGCGCGGTAACAGTCAACCCGACAGGAGATTGGCTGTCTCAGAACAGTAATTATGGCGGGCAACACTAATGAACTGGTCGTGTGGCAGTGGAACTGTGCCAGTTTCAAAAGGCGCAGGGCTCCACTGCTGCACTTTATTGCTTCTCAGGCGGTCAAACCGCACGTAATTATGTTACAGGAAACTCTCGGTGATGCGCTAACTTTCCCGGGCTATCGAGTCGTCTCGGTGCGCGAGCAAGGGAAGCGTGGTTTGGCAACCTTGGTCGCAAAAAAGTGCTCCTTTCAAGAACACAAACTACAGCTTGGCAACAGCAAGGCTGAGGTCATTATCCTCGAAATAATCCCCAACAGCTGGCTCAAGAACAGCGTATTCCTCCTGAATGTGTACAGCTCGCCGTCGGACAAGCGGCAGGGGTTCGCTTCGATCATGGCAAAAGCGGTGGCTCTGGCCAGGGGGGCCCCCATCGTGGTAGCGGGAGACTTTAATGCTCCGCACGACGCTTGGGGATACGCCAGGCAGTCCCCCAAAGGCAACAACCTCCTAAAGGCCGTATCTAGCTGTTCCCTTGAATTGATTACGGACCCGCAATACCCGACAAGAATTGGCACATCGGTGGTCCGAGACACAACTCCAGACTTGGTGTTCGTCAAGAACGTTGCCGGAGCAGGGTGGCAAAATTTGCAAGAGAATCTAGGTAGTGACCACTTCATAGTGGCTATTACCCTAGCAGTCAATGCAGCTCCCCCCAGGGAATTTAAAGTAACGGACTGGGATGCCTTTCGTAAATTGTGGAAGGAGAACCGGGATGAATACGACAGCTTAGACAGCCTCTTTGCAAGGCTCAAGGCGGATGCTAATGCTGCGACCAAGGTTGTCAAAACGAACCTGAAGGTCGATCGGATGGATGCACACCTCGCGCATCTCTTAGAGGCTAAGAATTCCATCCTGTCCCGGTGGAGGACGCAAAGGCTCAATCGCCGACTTCGATTAGGTTAGGTTAGGTTAGGTTAGGTTAAGAAAATTGCGCAACTCAATCGCGAGATCGAAGCCTACTCTATTGAACTTTCCAAACAGCAGTGGAATGAAGTATGTTCTTCGGTTGACGGACAGATGAGAGTGGGGGCCAAATGGAACCTCCTCAAACAATTACTTGATGAGTCACAGTCGAAGGGAAATCAGCGATTGGCTATTGACAGAATCGTTCACAACCAAAAAGCGAAGGGAGTGTCCGAAAAGGCCCTCCTGAAGAGGTTAGCGGACAGCTATCTTCCGCTGGGCCCTTCCGGCGATGCGGACTATCCCCATTACAGCGGTGGAATGGTGGCGGAGCTGGACGCACCTTTCACTGAACCAGAAATCTGTAAGGTCCTCCACGAGCTCAACGGACGCTCTGCACCGGGACCGGATGGAATCTCAAATAAGCTCTTACGTAACTTGGATGGCAAATCCATCGAGAAGCTTACCGAGGAAGTCAACAAGATCTGGGAGACGGGGCACGTCCCCGAATCCTGGAAGACAGCTTCGGTAGCGCTTATCCCAAAGCCAGGCAAACCTCTGGCTTTGGAGAACATGCGACCCATCTCGCTTACGTCCTGCGTAGGCAAGGTGGCCGAACATGCGATTCACCATCGGGTATCCGAGTACATAGAAAGCAGAGAGCTATTTCCACACAATATGGTAGGATTCAGATCTGCACTATCCACACAGGACGTGATGCTCCTTATCAAAAGACAAATCATTGACAACAACACCAGGGATACTAGAGGCATACTAGCTCTAGACCTAGCTAAAGCTTTTGATAATATCTCGCACAAGTTTGTGCTTGAGGCAATTTCGGTTATGGGTCTAGGGCAACGGTTCCACGCATACGTTAGGTCTTTTCTCAGGGATCGCAGGGCTACCATTAGAATCGGTCAAATCCAATCCACGGAATTTACCTTGGGAGCCAGAGGCACCCCACAAGGGGCAGTTATCTCTCCTCTACTCTTCAATACTGCCATGAAGGGCCTCTCGGAGCGACTCGCTACGGTGCGCGGGGTTAACCATGCTCTCTACGCGGACGATATCACCGTGTGGTGCATGGGAGGGTCCGACGCCGGGGTAGAGCAGGCGCTCCAAGAGGCATTAGACATCACGGAGAACTTTCTAGACGGTTCGGGCCTGAGCCTGTCATCGGCAAAGTCTGAATTACTACTATACAGACCCACCCGACAAGGACTGAGGAACCTCACTCCTTTAGAACAGATTCCCATAGCTTTATACACACGGAATGGGCAGAGAATACCCAGGGTGGACTCCATCAGGGTCCTCGGACTCCTGCTAGAGTCCAAGGGGGGCAACTCACGAACTATAGCCCGCATCACCTCCAAGACGGAGAACATGCTTAGGCTCATACTCAGGGTCTCGAACCGCAGGGGTGGGCTGAGCGAGAGCAATCTCCTTCGGCTCTATCATGCATTTCTCATGAGCCACATTAATTATGTCGCTTCGGCATTGCGCTGGTCCAAAAGAGAAGAGGCAAGAATTGATACACTACTGCGCAAAAGCATAAAGCGAGTTCTAGGCTTGCCTATCCACACTAGCACCGAGAAGCTCCTACAATTGGGCATGCATAACTCCCTCTCGGAGGTGATAGAGGCCCAGCAGATGGCTCAGGTTGTGCGACTATCGTCCTCGAGGGCTGGTAGGCGCATCCTGGAATCCATAGGCTGCGGTCCTACGGCGACTAACCAGCGTAATGTAACACTACCACCCTCGATCAGAGGCACGTTTTCGGTAGCTCCACTTCCAAGAAATGTCCACCCACAATACAATGTAGGGCGCCGCATAGCTCGGGCCCGTTCCTTATTAAAATCAGTTGCAAACAGACCGCATCTCGCGACCTTTGTCGATGCAGCCCAGTACGGGCGTTCGGATCGCTTCGCAGTGGTCTCGGTCGATCATAGTGGCACACTCCTATGCTCTGCCTCGGTTAGAAAGGTTTCGGCAATGGTGGCTGAGCAAATCGCCATCGCCATAGCAATGAAGGACCCATCGCGTCCTAATGTCTTTACAGATTCGCGTTCCGCAGCTAGGGCTTTCGCCTCGGGCTCGATCTCGCGTGAGGCAGCGGCCATCCTCGGCTGTGAGGGGGCTGCCGGGTTTCACACCATAACATGGTTCCCGGCCCACATGGGGGCCAACGTACATCCTGATGTCCCCAACGCCAATGAGTTTGCCCATGACCGTGCGCGAGGTATCGCTCACCGCGACGGTCCCGGCGGATTCGCAGGCGGGGACGCCGGAAGATACAGGGACTCGCTACTCACTTTCCACGAGATCATGACTCATTATCATCTATCTCGGAGGACTTTTCCACTTCCTCATCCTAAACTTACGCGACCGCAATCATCGGCCTACAGGATGCTCCAAACGGGGTCTTTCCCTTCGCGTGGCAGGTTCAGCCATTTTTCGCCCAACATCGAGCCGCATTGTCCAGACTGCGGTGAGGCGTATTGCTCATTACCTCATATGCTCTGGCAATGTCCTGCGTTACGTGACGCAGAGTTCAACAAAGAAGAGGACTGGGAGGCAGCCCTTCACAGCGGCGACCTCCTGGTTCAACTTCGGGCTGTCCAGAGGGCCTGCGAGAGGGCGGAGGGCCACGGTCTTCCGGTCCCTACGTGGGAGCGGCCCGCGACTGCTACGGATTCCCCCTAAACGGGGCCGTTACTACGCAGTTCCTCAGGACCTGAATTAAGTTCTTTGTCTGTCTGTCTGTCTGTTGTCAAAATTACATCGGTTGCACCAAATCATGTAACTACATACTATCCAGTCTCTGCATAGCATCATCCTTGATAAAACAACTAGGGCACACCATCGCACCAGCACTTCACTAATCTAGCCTAAAAAAACACTTGTATCTTTTGATCTCTCAAGAATATGCTGAAGTATTCTCTGCAATCTTTCTGTAATATAAACTTCAGGGTATACAAAATATATTAAACAAATATTCAAGAACTATTAAAAAAATATTCAATTTGCCAGCTGACTTTAATGTTCACAGTTGATTTGCACTCAAAACTTTGCTATTTGCTCAACTCCAGAGATAACTTTATCATTCAGCTATATAATTACTCACTACAAAATGAATGTTTTTCCAGCTTTATAAGTCTAATAATTAAAAGCTGCACCGCTCATTAATTGACAAAATTATTCCAATCACTTCATGTATAACTCTGGAGATTTTAATGCTAAGCATATAATATACTTACCTCTAAATTTTAAAATTTATTTGGTGCCACTTAAAAAATAAACAATCACCCACCTTCTCCAAGCAAGTTCGGAGAGAGTACATTCTCTCTGATGAAAACCTCCAATAGTGATGTTGCATCTAACACATTCTGTTCCCAGGAATAATCGTTTAGGACAACCTGAAGGAAATGGGAACAAAAAAAAGTAAAATTGTTTTCATCTCAATTTGAAGTATTCTTTAAGAGATTCTGACAAAAGCCTCACCTCAATCACATTGGCAAGGGAACTTTGCAGGGAATATGTGGGAGCCAATATTCCAGGCAGCTAAAGAAGCAAAAAAACAACAACAAAACAATTACACATAAATATGCACTACAAAAATCATCGCACGGAAACAAAGCTGAGCGACAAAAGGTCATGCTATTGTACAGCTGACTAATGTTATTTCTTAGTGATGTGCAAGTTTGCTAGCAGCATCATTATAAACTTCTTAGTGATGTGCAAGTTTGCTAGCAGCATCATTATAAACTAGCAAGAATTTATAGCAAACCTGTGACCAATCAAAAGCCTGCAATACAGTAGGCTCTTGATCATTCAATATCAAAGGAACGATAGGATTTTATTTATTTATAAGTTCTCATAAGTACGACTAGGGGCAACATACTAACTTGAGTCATAATGTTTACCGTTTTTGAGGGCCACAGCAGCGTCAAGACAAATCTGCACGATGGCCAGTGAAGTTTTCAGATGTCAGCCATCATGATGTAACTCACTATTGTACAGCCCATCCATATCTTTGTAATTAGTGACAAAATATGATGTGTCCTGTAAGAACTCACGGCTCCTTCCTACCTTAGAACAGTTTTACACATGGTAACAGCATACTGCAGCAAAGACTAGAAGCATTCTGCACACAATTTACCGAGACTGCTCAGTCTTTTTTTCTTCTTCCTCAGTGAACATGCGATTGCTAGTGTGCATGATTTGGCTAAATTGGCCGCTTTGTATGCAGGCAATCTGCTTTGTTTGAGACTGTGACATAAAAACTAGGGGTGTACAAATAAGTGAAATTTCAAATACATTTAAAATAGTGTTTGCTTTTCGATTTGCCCCGAAATTTTGCTGTTCAAACTCCCCAAACACAAACACAGTCAACGTCTGATTAAAAGTGACCCCTACAGATTTTCAATATGCTTCCCCTCGTCACACTCTCATACTGCAGCAAACCTGCCTTTTAAAGTCCGCTATGGTCGCAAATGCATTGACTCAAGAAAACACTGGTCTCAACATGAAGATAGATAAGGCAGAGGTGGAGGCTCAGTTAGTGCTGTCTTAGACCTGAAATTCAGGCAGGAAGTCCGAAAAATTGGATGCCAAAGATTTTTAACATCCAAAATTCCAGATGTTTTTATATACGAGGCAGATCTGGAATACCTGTCTTAAAGAGAGCACATCCTTGCCTGTCACATAAGTCGGGCTTTCACAGAAGTTGGAAAAAAAATAGAGGCCATTGAAATGGCTTCTTTGACTTTCACATGTAATGTGTTGCGGCGACACTTTAGTTGCCCCTAATCATCTACATAAATGTAATTCAGCCTCTGCACTGTCTCATTCTTGATAAGAAAACCATGAAACAGCCCTGCCATGAATCACCCTAGCCAAAAGAAACACTTAACTGTCGCTATCTTAGAAAAATATGTTTAGCAATCCTCTACAGCTTTTCTTTCTGCAATTTTGCTTTGAAGTATTAGAAAAATATTCCACAAATATTTGACAAATACTCGAAACATATTCGATTTTACTATTTGCACAGCTCTATAAAAACACCAATGTTCAGTTAAAAGAAACATCAGATATTTTCAGGCACGGACAACATGCAAAAAGTGTGAATTAAGCAGAAATTATGCAATGAAACAATTGCAATTAGATGGCTTCAAAATATAGTGAAAACATTGGAGACCAATTAAACATTTTTAATTTGTTTTATTATTAGGTGAAAGTGTGAAGTATAAAGAGTCTATTGTATCACTGAACAAGTTAATGCACATCATAGACTCTGCCACTGCCTGATAAAATTCGGTAATACACAAAACCTAGTGCTTCCTATAGAGTACAGTAGACTTTTAGTAAACAGAAATCTCTTAAATGGAAGTGCTGCTTAACACGTTCTCAATGGCGTGGGTCTCTGGTGGGTCATCGCCTGCGCTCCTCATATGCAGCCACGATGTTATGAGTCTACATCTGCTTGTTGATGCGATAACTTCATCAAACATGAATACAGAGATATAATTCTTGTTGCAAGAGGTCATAAATAATCATAAGAATTTTTTTTTTTGGTGTTAGATGCCATGACCCATCAGTGACCCACAGGTGGGTCACGGCACACTTAGAAGATATGCAGAGTGGCCCACCAGTGGGTCACTGCGCACATGAAACAAGACCTAAAAAAAAAAAGCTTGCCACAGCGAACGTGCTGAACCAAACAACTGCCCTTAATGTTATTGGTTTCTTACATGGATTCTGCACCCATGCTCGTTTCTCAGTAAACGGTAGTCCTGTTAAGGGTAACATATTTTCCTGGTCCCTATGGGTTCCATTAACAAGAGTCTACTGTACTGCAAACTAGCATGTACACCCCAAAATATCCCTAATTGATTTCGGTCACAAGTACAGTTTGACATGTTATGAAAGGGAACACGCAAGCTTGTGGCTTCTGCTTAGCAGTTGCTACAGTATCACCAAGTGACAAGGATGAGAAGTCTTCACTTCTGGCATCTCCTGCTGGCAAGCAAATTAACGTTAACAAGAAATAGCTAATCGTAGCCGCACTGGAAAGACAAGCGTGCCTGCCTGCTCAATTACTTTGCTTAAATTAGGTGAAGTGTAACACGGTATTAAATTCTTCTTCTTAGTTGCAATTACGCAGGCTAGCCAGTTGTTTTGGTGTATTAATATTAAGTGTAATGACCTCTTGTTTTTATTGTTGCTGTTGCCACTAACAATGTTCTTTTTTTGCCCACTCCCGCTTGGACCAAGATGCTTGTCTGCAATATGTTCTAACAAACAAACAAAAAATCTAGGAGGAGGAGTGGCATCACCTATCAACTATGCCTGGTTGTTTTGCTCACCAACAGTCAACACAAAAAGTGGCAGTGCTTGCTCTCGCTCCAGCATGAATGCACTGTAACTAGCAGCTGCAACAGAGTGCGTAACATGTCCTTGCGTGCTACCTTTTATAAAGAGCCACACTGTAAAACTTTGTGAATTCTAATTATGTCAAATTATGGAGAACCCCTTAGAAAACAGCACTGGATGGCCTCAGCTGCACTCTGAAAGAGTATGACCTGCACTAAGTCCTCACCAGCACACGAAAGTGCACATGGCCTTTCTCAATTAAAACAGGGGAATGGTGGTGCATCTATTGAAAACTTCGCTGCAAGGGCACGGCGAAATGGAGGCAAAGGGGAGAGGAACATGCAGGAGAGCGTGTCTCCCCTCTTTTCTGTTGGATGTAGAAGTTATTTTAGGATAATAGGCGAAAGACATTCAAACCAATGTGCAGAGCAGGCATACGTCTGCCTGCAATCAAGCTTCAATGACAAAGCGACTGCGATACATTGTAGCTGCAACACAAACTGTAGGTGCCCAAGTGCACCAGGGTGAATGGATTGGAGGGAAGGGAGAAGGCACGTGCGTGCATGTAGTGGAGCAGCTGATGGAAGGATGTGGTGGTTCAGGATAGCATAAAACGGTCCAGCAATTTGCATTCTTGTCCACATTTTGCCCCATGTCCCCAAATCACAGAAAAATGTCACTAATAATACAGCAAACTGAAAACAATTGAACATTACATTTTTCTATGTCGTGCACAATTCATCATGCAAGCTTGTAGGCATATATAGAAGTGTGTAGTCATGACTAGTGTGTACTACTACTGAGGTAAATAATACTAACAAACATTTGCCAGTATGTGTTAAGTAATGGCTTTCGAAATGCCACTGGCTCCATTGCTTTACCTTGTAGCTCTTTAAAAATTATTTTAACAAAATAGGTTGACTACAAACATAAGTAGACTTAATTTTTTTCACTGGTATGCCAGTATAGTATATACAATATATACATATAAGCCAATCCTAATCTTCAGAAGATTTACGATAACAGATGACTGAACGTGAAATGCAAAATTAACTAATGAGTGACGTGGCAGTCCACCATCGCTCATGTTGTTCAAACAACTTTCCCCTAAATATTAAACAGCACTTGACACACAGGACAAAGCAAGAAGTAATATATATAAAACAGCACTTAACACAAAGGACAAAGTAAAAAGTGACATATGGCACTGAGCTTACTTTTTTCTTTATATTTATCCTGAAGACCCACCAACTCGCCCTATAAGCCTGTCTTTTGCCGAGTATTTTTTTCCTTTCTTCTGTCCGTTTTTTTTTCCTTTTTCCTTCTTATATAAATGTGGCCACAGGGGCCACAGAAATGACATGACAACTATGAACATGACAACTCCTTTTTTCTTACTATCTAGATCTCCTAGTCGATGCCAAAGCAGCTTCCTCATGAGAACTACTACTACTGGACATGTCATATGTTATGTTTTTCGGGCATCCTCAGAGCCGCACAGAGGATTTAATGTGCACTATTTGCAAATTTTAGTCTGTATGTTTGCCCTCGATGGCATGTATTCACAGCCAATGTCATAACTTAGCTAAGGGAAGCCCCACTGCGATGTCCTACCAGCTTCGCCCTGAGCAAGACTCCCTTTGCAACACCTTGTGACACAGTCCTTCTGTGGCTTTTCCATAGCAACATCCTATAGCAACAGCAGTGATGCCATACTGCCAGTACGATGACCACTGTATAACAGCTATATTCACAGAGAGAAAATGACAACTTATGTGCATCACCATGAACTAAGCATGCCCAGATACTGTGAACCAATGTCAAAAAGATGGCCAGGAAAACACCCACATTTTTTCTATTATGAAATGAAAGGCAATGTGAGACAGACTACACTAAAACATCTTTCACTTCATGCTAAAGAGGGATAACTGCACAAAAAGAGGTACTCATTTAGATACTCATTTCTGCATGTGGGCTAGACACCACAATGTGGAACAAAGAGTTTGTTTCATCCCGATACCTTGCAATACCCAAATTCTGTTGCATAAAAATGGCTCTTGTAAAAAGTTCATACTAACACTGGAAGCCGAACTTTCTGTGCTCTGGCCAGCCTTTGGAACTCGTGCCGTAACAGCAGAGGTGGATGTTGCAGCAGGCTTACTCCTGGGCTCCCCGTCACGAGCCTCTGCGCTTACTGGCTGCATCTCCGCTTGCTGCTGATGCTGAGCAGCTGCTGCAGAGCTTGGTCCTGGCTGTGCCGAGCGCGAGGACTGGACAGGCCAGAGGGAACCACCAGAGCCTAACTGCTGGAGCTGCCCCAACTGCAAGTGACAGGAGGAGAAACAGGGGACGGAGCAAGGAAAGAAGGATCAGCATGTGGCCCCTTCAATCTAAGAGTTGTTTTAGTTAAATTACCCTGCATAGCACACGAATCGTAATAACCCAGGAGGACTGAGATCTCCATTTTTGCCAGTAACGTTACACAGAGCCAACTCAGGATAACATTTGTCAATTTAACCCTTATGTTTGAAGCATTAAATACAGTGAAACCTCGTTAAACCGTAGTTGGCCGGAGCTCGGAAAAAGTACGTACTAAACGGAGTACTGCTTAACCGAAATAGCGTCAGGTCGCTCACTTACCTGTCAAAAAAAGAAACCTTCAGGGAGTGCGATGAAAGAACAAAAAACGTGCAGTAATTTATTAACTTCGCGTGACAGTCTGTAATCTTCATTTGACGATGCGGCGGCTTAGCAGCAACGACAGCGGCCTCAAACTCACTTATGCTTTGAGCCAGCTTTTCCGCCAGCCCCCTCTTCTCGGCAAATACCCGCATGACGCTGACGCAATGCACAGCTTTGGCCACTGTCGGACCTGCATCACCCGTGTTGTCGCTTCCCATGTCGTCCTAATCACTATCATTTAGCGACACTTCCAATTTCTCCTCTATTTTCAGCACTCGATGCTTTTGTCCCAGCTTCGGCATGACGCAAGTATGAAGCAGCACAAGCATACATACACAACACGTGAAAAATGACGCGAGAGCTGTACGGCATGGATCAACCAGAGAACACCTATGCAAGGCGCCAAAGGAACAAAGAAAGCGAAGCAAGCGCACACCGTGTTTGCATGTTTGTGCAAAGCGCCATCGCGTGGACAACACCAGAAGCCTAACCGGCCGAGTGCTTCTTGTTGCAGAAAAATCCTAGAGATGGCGCTCACCAACACAGCCGCCATCATCATCAACACAAACAAGCGAGGCGTGTTTTCATTTCTGGGGCTTGCTGTTCTGTCGGGACGCCCAGTGGAGGACGACATGCCGCGACGAGTGAGCAACGAAAATAGGAAAAACTACTTATTAACCGATACATACGTGTTAAGCTGGTACGGCTTATGCGGATACAAAATGCATTATGTTCAATGGCCGCCGAGTCAGGGATTTGACTTCACTACTTTTAAAACGAAACTACTGTTTACGTGGGTACAGTTTAATGAGGTTTCACTGTATAACACACGGCAATAGAAACATTTCTTTTCTTTTTTTCTTTTTTACAGAAGCGCATGACTCGACCTGTGTCAATGTTGTTAGGAACCAAATGTCCTTAATTTATATAGTTTTTCAGCTTCTACATAAACATGGTTGGTACACCACTTCCTCGTGCCAGAAGGAAGCTAGGTGGCTGCCTTAAGAGCGCGCTGCCGCCTTACTTCCACAAGTGACCGCCTACGCAAGGCGATTTCCAGGCGGCCACGGAATCCCATGAAGCCGACCGGTAGAAGCAAAGGATAACCGGCGTCCGGGCTCAGTCGGCGATCTTCTGTTATGGCTGACAGCTGCGATGGCGTGTGGGTCAAAGGTAAATAAGGTAAACGTGTATACTTCTTTCATTGCACACTATCCTAAAGCTACCTCTCAAGTCTACTACAACATTAATCATTATTTTATAGCAGCTGCCCCTTTGACTAAGAACTGACCAGTACATATAAAATTGTAGAAACTGATCTACACTGTGTTAATGGTGACAAAAATTTTTAGTGAGCATTTGCAGTTTTTTTTAGAAATAGAGCCGATTATATGATTTCAACTAAGATGATGAAACTTCAATGATTACGTATTTTATGTCTTGATGTCAAATATGAAGTCAGTCTTTACAATAGGCATGCCATTAATTTTAAAACAAAGTATCGATAAAAGCATTATTTGATCACATATTCATTGAACTGGCTGCACAGATCTTCCTGAATTAAATTTAACTAGATTCAACACATGCCAAGGAGTGCAACCAATATAACTTTACGATTCTAGCTTTAAAAGAAGGAAAGTTGTAATATGGGAAGTTCTCACTTGATTGAGAGTGAAAAAGCACTTTATTTTACCTATTCTTAATCTATATGAATTTGCAAATAACAGTTGACACCCTTTAGCACTCTCTAAAACACTTAGCTTTCAAGCCTCTTCCCCCCTCCCCCAAAAGAAAAGATAAAAAAGAGCATTATAGCTGAGAAAAGCTTGTCAGATCATTTTGGCTGTGAAAAAATTAAACAGGGTAAAAAGCAATGAACAAACAAACACCGTTCATGGCTAATATAATATTGAAAACTGTTATGACCAAACTAATGATTTAAATATGCATGAGAATTGGTGAGGTTATGCATCAGTAATGGTAGAATCAAGCATTTTTGAAATATACATTTTTTTATGGGAGAGGGACATTTTTGGTTATCAAAAGCAGCTCCCCATAAATGAAAACTTTTCAAAACTACAGCATGGAATCTGAAATGATCAGTAGCTCAGAAACGGCAGGAATGCCACTGAAACACAAAATTTTGCAACCATGCACTTGCTGTCTGGAGGAAGGAAACGCAGTGTAAACATGCACTTCATGCTACTCATTGTAGCAATTAGCAACACTAAAATCCATTGCAGTTGAATGGCTGCATCTTCGAGTTCTAAGGGAAGGTGCCTTTGTAAATACTGGGGTACAGGTGAGCCCCTTCAAAAATTGTGTTTTTTTTTTCAATGTTCCCTTTTGTCCAAACCGTCTTGGAATCTGACCGCCACTTGCCTACCCACAGAAAAGGTTGGGTGATTGGGACTACTGCATATATGTTTGGAAAACAGGATCACTTACAGGAACAGGCTGGCCCTTACTGGACAGCAAACACAGCTAACCAAAATGAGAGAGGGAGAGAGTGTGGCTGGTGTGGGGCCACTGTGTCCAGGACTTGATCTCGCGCTTGTTTCTTGGACAACAGGTCTTTTAAGGTGCGGTATGGTACCATGTTTTGATTTTCTGATTAACCTCTACTTCAATGTGGGCACACTGCAACTAAGATGAGCACAAAAAAAGCCTGGAGCTTTTTACAATAAATTTTTTACATATCATCTGTTTTAATACTATGCAATTCGCTTTTGGTGAATCGCTAGACGATTCAGCTGACTGCTTTTGCTCATATTTGCCAGGTATAGTTGCCATTAACCAAACACAGTGCAATAGGTATTGTGTTTAGTGCTATCAGGGCCTTCAGCTTCGGTTTTGCAAACATATGCAATGCTCCTTGACTGGAAGCTGATATGGGGCAAGTGCTGATGAACAGCTTGAATGGCTTTCTCTAATACTTGCACTGAGTGCATCTCTACAGCAATTTGTCTTCGAGTGAATACCGGTTCAGTTTCATGATCAAAACACAGTAACTATGGCCTCCTAGCGAGTGAATACTGGTGCTCTTTCACTATTAAATCTCACCCCCTGCTGCCACAGGGAGCCTAATATTTCTACCTAGTTGTCTGGTGCCTGTCATCTGCTTACGCAGCCACTGCTGAAGTGCTTGCTGCACTGTGCATACATTTGCCATTGCAGTGTTCTTCGTACCTTGATAGGTTAGAGTGGTGAACCTGAGCTGTTTTCGTTTTTACAAGAAAATCAAAGTATGTTTCTGTCGTGCACTTCATGGTCCAGCCAGACAGTCAGACAGAATGCAGTAACAAATGGCGTTTGGATTGTCACTTGTTAAAAGCATGCAACACATTTTCAACAGCGATGCCCCACAGGTGCTCTCAAGAAGATAGCTGAAGGTTCTTGTCATGATAAGGTTACCATATCATACTGGCGTGGTCATTGGTGGCCTTCACAAGTTTGATGCTGAAGTCTGAATCATTCATAAGCTGTCTCTTCACTGTTTTCACTTTTTAAAACGGTGGGTTGCTTTTTGCAGCACACTGTGGCACCAACGACAACATCCATAATTTCAGAGACTTCAAAATTAACTTAAAATACCTTCGGAGCTATAATCGCCATTGACATTCTGCAGATAATATAGGAATGTTCAAAGGAATCAACCCCGCAAGCTATCTCGGCCACAAAATTTTGTGTCAGTACCCCTTTAAGAAAATATAGTTTAATGAATTATTATAATATTAAGAAAATATTGTATCCTTCATATCAGCTTGATAAAAGATTTGATGTCCTCCATTTATTAAACAATCAAACACTGAATGGTGGCCCACACTGAATTGACCCTTTAACCAATAAATCCTGCAATAAATGCAACTTGGCAGCACTTTGAAAACACTTTGTGCAGTTTGTTGCCATTAGCTTCTTAACTACAATAACTAATTGTTTTCAAATGCATTCATAACCTGAAAGCTTGACTAAAAGCCAAACTGAAATGTGACTAGAAATGTTACTGTCATCAGGATATCAAACCAAACCAAAATTTTAGCCAGCAGTAAACTTAAACACAAATATACATCGTAATGTGCCTGCAAGCCGATAATAAAAAGAGAATGCTACTCATTTGATATGAAATGGTCCTAGCATACAAGATAAGCAATATATTTTGTCAGCGACTTCCACTAGCAGATTATAATGTGTACCAATATTGTGGTACGAGACAGTCAAGGGGGGGACACGGGACTTAGAAGGCCAAAAATCGCAAAAAATCGACTTTTTTGAAGCTGACATTTTCGAAATCTGCGCTTATTTTTGCACTTATCTGAGAAGTTTCTAGCTTCTGGTGTCATTATTTCTGGCGCAAAATCAACTTATAACATCTCTGTGAGATGAATGTGAGTGCAAATTGACGCTAAAATCGCGCTTTTTCTGCGCCAAACTGTTGCCATTACACACGAGCTATCGTGTTCATCTTGGTCTCGTTTGGAAGGGTCGTTCTTCATCTTCAATTTCCCGCCACCAATGGCTCACATTTCTCATCGGTTTTTTAGCAAAAACGCGTCATCGAGAAGCACTAGCGCGCAATTCAATTGGCTGCTTGGAACACATGACCAAATTTAGGCATCCGATCGGCCAAGGGGCGCTTTCGGCGTCTGCTTCACCATCGTGATGCACACGGGCATGCGCCATTTTGTCATGGTGCTACTGACTGCTTGCGGCAGTAAAGAAGTTCTGTGCTACAGTAATTTGTGAAGCAGGTGTGGCGGTCGTTCGTTCGGTGTGAACTTCAGAAAGATCCTTGCTATGGCTCAGGACTACGAGGATAACGAACTCGACGCGGTCAACGACGGTCGCCGAGTCACCGGTGTAGGCCTAACTCACGTACGAGCCCGTCGGTTGCTGACAACGTTACTGAGAACGGCAAGTAAAAAGCAGAAGTGAAGCTACCAGAGATATCAATCTGTAGTGACGGAACGGAAGTGCAGTCTTATCGCTAAACCCGCCCATGTTGTGGTTCCCCCCGCCTGACGAAAGGATCTTGAACTGCGCGACGGGTCGTCAGAGTGGAGTACGCCGGGTGTCAACCAACAACAGAAAGTCCGTTCGCAGTGAACATGCTCGCGGCCCCCGCAATGGAGGCTACTGGAAACAGGTAGACTGCTTTTAACGACGTGTTTGCAACGTTGTCACGATCTCCGCTTGAAAATGCGGCAGTCTTACGTGAAAAGAAAACACCTCGGCACTCGTGTAGCCTCGAAATTGATAAGCGAGGAAGCAACTTTGGTTCGTGACACTTACGGGTAACTTATTCTGGACAAGCCGGAAAACATCGCTGCGTTATTTGACGGATCGTGGATGACGCACGCACATTTGTCGCACATCGCCCGCCGTCAGTACAGTCACCGAACTGATAAGCGGCCTCGCGGCAGACGAGCACACGGCGACAACTTGCTACAGGACTAGGAGAAACGACACGCTCGTACAAACAATCAGTCCTATTACATTCCCGGTGCATATTAACTGACCAAAAGTATGTGTGCCATGATATTTTCCCCTCAGAACGGCGAAATTAATTTTTAACAGCATTATTCCCGGAGCACAGATTTTGACCACTTTCTTTTGCTTGTTCGGTAAAGTGGACCTAGGGACAGCTAGAGCTGCAATTGTTTTTGCACAATGTAGCTAAATGTGCACAAAAAACACTGCTGTGAGCCCATTTTTAATGGGCAGCTTCATTTTTTTATTTTAATATAAAAATTTCTGTATTTGGTTACATGAAATGAACATTACTGTGCTGTAATTCAAGAAGTACTCGTTCAATTTTCGATCAGCTTGCAGCACTGCACTCCTTAGGCTTTCTAGAATTCATTTATATGTCAATGACTATGCAAATATAAGTGCATACATTTTTACAGTTAAAAATGTTGGAATTCTTTGTTTTCTTCATTTTCTCAAAATGGCAATTTTGTACACTCTGCATGAAAATTATTGCAATATATCTGAAACTATTACAGATAGCAGAATATTTTATTTTGCAGCATGAAGCTATATGTTTGGAGCACACAACATAGGAAGCAGATTTTGATTCGTCTTGATGCAAGTTTTTCAAACTAGTCTTTTGTGTGGCTACACAATGGCCACATTCAGGGCTGTGAAGTT